CATTTATCCATCCATGCATCCATTTATCCATCCATCCATCCATCCATACACACATTTATCCATCCATCCATCCATTTATCCATCCATCCATACATACCGGTACATACATGCATTTATCCATCCATCCATCCATCCAGCCATCCAGCCATCCATCCATCCATACATACATACATACATACATTTATCCATATATACATTCATCCATGCAGCACGGTGGCGCAACTGGTAGAGCTGCTGCCTCTCAGCGAGCAGGTCCTTGGTTCAAACCCCGGTCCAGGGGCCTTTCTGGGTGGAGTTTGCATGTTCTCTCCGTGCATGCGTGGGTTTTCTCCGGGTACTCCGGTTTCCTCCCACAGACCAAAAACATGCATGTTAGGCTGATTGGTAACTCTAAATTGTCCCTAGGTGTGAGTGAGAGAGTGAATGGTTGTTTGTCTCGTTTGTCTCTATGTGTCCCTGTGATGGACTGGAGACCCGTCCAGGGTGTACCCCGCCCCTCGCACAGTGATTGCTGGACATGGGCACCAGCGATCCCCGTGACCCAAAATGGAATAAGCGGGTAAAGATATTGGATGGATGGACATTCATCCATACATCCATCCATCCATCCATACACACATTTATCCATCCATCCATTTATCCATCCATCCATGCATACCGGTACATCCATCCATCCATCCATCCATCCATCCATCCCCTTGAGTTGTTGTGTGCAGGATCATGAGGGAGCTGGTGCCTATATCTCCAGCAGTCTATTGCACCATGAACTGTCCCAGTCATTGTTGTCTTTAAAGCTCTGAACAATAATGACTTTAGATTTTAATGTTTCATAGGATTTCTGTCCTTAAATCTAAAACTAACTGAAAACAGAATCATGTAACAAACATTTTAGTTTAAGACACGAGTTATGTTGCAACATTTTTATATTTACTATGCGAGTTATATGTTATTAGCAGCTACAAAGCTATTTACAGTGAAAATGAGGAATAAATGTAAATAAAAATTACAGAATTCTGAAAATAAACAAAACTCCTACTTCTAACTAATTGCTAAAAGAAACACCTACAAAAAGTTCTACACAATCACTGTATATGGCTCAACATTAGTTTTTATGTGCCAGGACTCTCAAATGTACATGAACAGATTAAGGTAATTACTTTCAAAAATTTAAGAAATGTGTTAAGGCGACAAAGACAAGCAGAGCTGACAACAAGAATAAAAATAAGCTTCAGTAACGATGTTTCAGATGCATACGCATCTTTAGACTTTAGCGCTGTTTCTAATTGGATTGTGAACTTGAAAAAAGAATAAACTTAATTTAGCTCCACTCATGATCAGTACAGCCTTTGTTCTGCTTTCATCAGGTTTCAGATTCTCATGAACAAACAGAACAGGTCATAAAAACCCTGTGAGTGCTTATATCAAACATTTAAATCGTGTATGTAAAACCACGACGGGTTCCAAAGACACTTTAGTCATTTCCTTTTACCTGACAGCTAACGAACCTGATGGCTCAATTCCAGAAGAAACATCTGATGCTATTTGGCATCAGCATGTGACCGCAGACTCACTGGGCTCAACTCTTTAACGTGTTCGTTCACTTTCAGCACACACAGTGGGAGGAAGAAAGTTCCCCACGGTGAAGTCCGTAGTTTATTGAGCCTACATCCAGCAGAGGAATTGCAATGTGATTTAGAGTCATCATATTTTATCAACGGTACAAATGCAAGCAGAAATAAAGCCCTCAGAGGAATGCTGTCCATTAGGGGAAGCTCAGCCCCGATGACCTCCTGGTAGCAGCCTCCTGAAATTTATGAATGCAGAAAGCACCTTATAAGGACTTCAGTAGCAAATAGTGCACATGGTCTGCTGTAGTTTGGCAAACCTGAAGCTCCAAAGATCAGTTTCATAAATACGTTGCTTTAAATGTTGCGTATACAAAGTCTGAAAAAGCAGCACTCTTTGGATCCATGTTTATAACACTGCTCTCCCCACAAACTGTTAGAATCAGTCAAAGAGGGATTATTTTGCAGCACAGGTGAGAAAGTGATAGGATCCACACCAAATGTTTCACATGTTCTCATCTGTGCATGCACCGGGTTTTTTAACTTCTTACTAAGATGCAAACAGCTTAGGTAAACATGACTGATCTAATCTGAACCACGCTTTTTGTTTTTGAACTTGGTATTTTATCTCACTGGCTCAACAACGGATTAGGGGTTTAGGATTCGAAGGGCGGCAATGCAATTAAAATACAATTACGGATGGATCCTAATTCCAAAGCACAGAATCTCTCAAACATAAAATAAATACTTTGCTTTACACTGCATTCAGGGAAGATTAAGGGAACTAAATAAGCAAAAGGAGTCAAATTACCTCAGTGACCTAAAGTTCTGTGGCCATGGATGTCCATACATCCCATGTTAGAGCCATCTGACCTGATGTCTTTAGTGTTTCCACAACTTAGATGTGTTTCTGTTGCAGAGCATAGAAATGACTGTTAGTGTCTCTTCAATAGGATTATTATGTTCCAATGTAGCTCCAATAGGTGCAACGTAACGTGGCATCTCACTGGGCTGCGACTGTTGGGAGACAAGCTGGTGTCTCCAAATTGTGAGAAAATTGCAAGTTTAGTTGCAGTTTCACAGAATTTTAGGTGCAAGCAACCAGCGGCCAGTTTTTTAAAAAAATCGCTGCCTATTTTTTGTGTTTGCAGCTTGAAAATCTGTATTCACATTATTTGTTGTCCACATCTTAAACCGTTGGGCTCTCTTTATACCCAACTTGGCAGCCGGTCCAGTGTTTAGGGTTTAATTTATGAGTGCACAAGAAAATAAAATTGGCAGAATTGTATTATTAATTACTAGTTGTTGCAAACTGCTGTGAATGTTCAAGACATTCTGGAGACTCCCTCGTGAAAGTGATGTGCCAACTAGTTGCCAGCAGTCACAGTCCAGATGCTACCTTTAGAGGTTTTTTCTAGTCCAGGTGGTAACGTCTATCCAACTTTCCTATAGTGTGGCTCTTGTGAATGTTTCCTTTAACTTCCTGAAAGTCAAAGTACTCCCAAACGCCGGCTTTCAGTACAGAAGGATCAGCTTGTAGTCATGTCTCGACTGTATACATGCCATAAACTGTTTGGGTGCTGCACTCCACAGTTCAGCCTTTTGTTAATAACATTCAATGATAATCACTTTTTGACATTTTTAAATAGATTTAGTCATTCATATCTATATTGCAATGCATCAAAAAATAGATATGGACCCCCCACCCCACCCCTTCTGCAGACACACTGCTGTGGTACACTGTACTTGATAAGATTGATCTATTATCAACAAATCTCCCAAGTCTGGTCCTTCTTCTGTTGGCTGATACAGAAAGCCACTCTGCAGATGATGACGACTTCATGAGCAGCTCTCCACTGACTGGGGCAAATGTCACCACGCAGATCCGTGCTTGGATATTATAATTTATCAGCGTTGAAACGTGTTTTGTTCAATGTGCACAAAAACATATAAACAGAATGCGACTATGGTTAAGAGAACCATTTCACAGTTGAACTCACTGGATCTTTTTCGTGAAATTCTTCGTCACGATGCCTCCTTCCTCTTGTTTCTCTTCGTGTTTTCCTGTTTGGGGAAATGAAACAACACTTTGAGCAAAGCCTACACGACTGAAGATGCTGAGAGTAATTAGGCAACGCCTCGCACCAACACATGGGGCTGTTTAAGTCTCGTACGTGGACGCTGCGTCTCACTTGGCACACTTTTGTTTCTATTGCTCAATCTCTGCCTTCAGTTTTCTGTAAATTTATTCTAAGAATGACTCCCTCGCAGAGACACGCAGTCCTGTAGCTATGAGGTACGCGCAGTTCCGGAAAGCGCCCCCTCCACCCTCTCCCTTGCTGATTATGACCAGTATACTGGTTGAGCTGGGTAGCAGCTGCTCCTGGAAGGCTAAATGTCAACGCTGACACCAGGAGGGCGGCCTGGCGCACCCTCAGTGTGTACTCCAGGCACAGAAATGTGATACCCTACACCCCCCACCGCCCCCGTGACATCTCCGCCTGCTGAAAGGGCTGAACTCTGGCAGGAATCGAGGCGAAAGTTCTGATCGTCGGTGAGGTCGTGTGATTCTTACAAAAACATCAACATGACTTCAGATGTAAAACTAATCTCCAGAGAGTCTTCAAACAAGATGCTGCCTCCCCCTTTTTTCTTTTATTCAAGACTCTGACATGCAAACCAAAATCCAGATGTGTCTTATGCTGCGTCATGGACTGAATTCACCATTTAGGACACAAACACAAAGACCTGAGACATTGCTTACTTGTTTTCTGATCAAATATGCCATGCTCATTCAGTGAAAGGGAAAACACGAGCTTTGCTCTAATGTAGATAACCTTAAAGATCAGTTTTGCACAAGTTATGGAATCATTCCTGAAGCAGAGGACATCGGTCACTCATAGATTCGAAGGTATAGAACAGTGTTAAATGCCTAAAAATGAAAACAGACACCTTTTTATTGCAACTTCCACCTCTGTTCCCAAACTCTGGACTATCATTCACGACAGCCGAAGGGGAAAGTCCTCTAAACCTTTATGCTTGCTGTCGGCTGCTTGTTTGTTGTGTCAGGAAGATAATCCAGGCAGTCATGGCTTGTAGAGAGTAACTGTTTTGAAACAAATGCTCACAACAAGCCACACGAGTTAGCGTGCAGCAGGTGAAATACAGAGTCTACTGCAGGTTTGCTGAAGCGAATAAACATTTGACTAACCTTGACCTGTTAGCCTCGCAACATTACAAAAAGCAGAACAGCCGAATAGACACGATTACTTTGAAATTGTAAATAAATTGAACTATTTGCCCCATTTGTATCTGGTGGAGCTAAGCATGAACAACAATAAATATTATTTTCGATTTCTCTTAAAGGGAAACCAACTTAGTGAAGTCCAAAATGTCCTCTACAATTTGAATTAAAAAAAAAAACCCCAACAAGCTTAGTTTTAGGCATCACATTTAAAATAATCTCAATACTTGTGTAATCAGCTGTTCTTACTATTTTAGTTTTATTTGAAGTAGAGATGCGCAATATTATCGGCATCGGCCAAGATTATCGTGCAATAACGATAAATATCTAACATCGGCCATTCCATTAAAATAACTTACCGATATAAAAGGCGCTGTTTATATACAGAATAGTGTTTTAATTCCACAGCAGAGAAAGCTATGTCTCTGTAAGTAGGTCTAGGAAAAAATATATATACAGTATCGGTTTTGGTTATTGGCCAAATCAATTATAACATATTGACATATCAGGTATCGGCCAAAAATCCAGTATAGTGCATCCCTATTTTTAAGCCTTTATTCTGTATTTCTGTAAAGCACTTAATGAAAAGTGTTATATAAATAAAGTTTACTTACTTATCCTGATGCATGCTCAATAATCCAGGTAGAAAAATCTAAAAAAGTTAAATCTGGTCCTCTGGACATTCAAAAAAAACAAAACAAAGCAAATCAACAAAAAAAATGTAGAAACGTT